CCCCAAAACCCCAAAACCCCAAAACCCCAAAACCCCTTTATTTTGATTAAAGATTGACGTAATTTGGAATTACTGAATTTTAATAGAAGACGTCATCTATAAACCCAATTCTTCAAGAGAATTAAATGCATCATCAAAGTCAACTTGTTCCATAAGCTGATAGAATGAGCTATCACTTGTAACTTCGGAGTCCTTTTCTTTATCTTTCTTGCCTTTGCTCTTCTGCTTTGAGTCTTTCAATAGCTTAGTCTGGTTGAAATTCTCAATTACCATTGGTCCAAAAGTATCTATAACTTCGTGAACTTTCTTTGATATATGTTCTCTCTTTTCTCTGATGACATCCATTGTATCCTTGCTAAAGAGGCAATAGACTCTGACGAATAAGTTGTTCCAGTTATCAGTGACTCCATCCAGTGATCTTACACAAATGTAATTGTAAATCGGATAGAAAACAAGGAACCAAAAACAGTTTGCACAACAATCATACAGTGAGAGTGATGAGTACATTCTTTGAAGTATAAACAATGACGTTGTGAAAAAGGTGCAAGTTAAAGGATACAAGATGAATGAATATAGTATCCTAGTGGATCCTAGAACATCAGCTCCAAAAACCTTCACACTAGATTTCTTCAATGCCTTTCTTCTTTCCTTTTCTGCTAGGATTCTGTTAATAACGTACATCGGGAGTAGAGTCACTAATCCAGGAAAAACAAAGATTAAGGACATCATCATTTTAAACAAAGAAATAACTGACTTTTTGAGAAGATCTAAGGTGTTGAACTCAATTTCGTAGATTTTAGAATCTTTAACTCCCAGTGATTTAAGATCTCTCCCATACTCATAGACTTCTTCCATTAAATTTTCAACTTCTGGCCTCTTTCTCATCTCTTGATATCCTTTAAAGAATCTTTTGTAAAGCTCATTGATTTCTTCTTGAGAATAATTTCCAATTTCACTGCTGGGGATGTAGAGCCTCCTGGCAAGATAAATATTCTTCAACTCTCTATAATTGGGAGCAGTGAAGGTCACACTTCTAAGCTTCTTCTCAGTATGACTGAGGAACTTTCCACAAGCTGATCTCTTGTCTTTCTGATATTCTTCAACAAGCTTTGAGTCTACTTCAAATGGAGTACTGAATTCCAGAATCATCTTTGACCTGAACCGACTTGGATTAAAATATTTGAGTCCACAGGCAATCACCTTAATTTTTGTATCTTTATACTTTGACATCGCCCCTAGTCCTCAGATTGCTACTCCTACCTTGAGAGGAAGAAGGTTTGTTTGATCATGAGAGCCTCCTTCAGGGAAAATACCCAAGTTTTTACCATTTTTCAATTCTTCCCAAACTTTAGAGAACACCTGAGACTGATCCACTTTTGGAATCACTTTGTATTCCTTCTTGACACCTGTCTCTGTTGGATTGACATCTTTAGATTTGAATTTCAGTTCTGTTGCTGAAACTACCTCTGTAACAACATATTCAGGCCATCCTTTAGCTTTAATAGTATCTCCGACCATTACTTGTTTGGTAAAATTAGAGTTATGGCCAATTATCTTTTGCTTATCAATTACTTCAACTGTCCCTTCACCAACTTGAGCAATATCTTGAGGTCTTTCAACAGGAATTGCTCCCATGACTCTTGTAAAGAACCCCATCATCCTTTGTCTATAAGTACTTGCTGCAACCATGAAGTTAATATGTTGGGGACAGTATGCAATAATTGCCATTGGATCAATGTATTGATTGGCATGATTGCCCACAAAGATAATAGGTCCTTCTTTTGGCACTTTTTGCTTTCCAATAACCTGGATCTCTTTGAAATACACATTCAATATGAGTCTGGTAAACCATACCATACATAACCTGATCAAAGAAACCAAAAAATTTGTCAGATACGTCATTTTTAATATCCCTTCTAACAAAATAAATACTATCCCATCTCAACCATATCTTCCCTAAATGGGGTTTTGGGGTTTTGGGGTTTTGGGG